TTCTGTTAACTCAGTTGTGTCCACCAATATCTATCAGTCCTTCTGAATCCTGCATTTGTTTTTCTGTTTCTGCTGTTTCCTCTCTCTTGCCTGCAGTCGGTTGGCTCTGGCTAAGGCTTTGGGTTTGATGGCACTGAATAGATCATTGCTGTGAGGACTGTGTGTTGCGTAATAGAGCAAAGCATCAGACCAAGCTGGAAGCTTTCAGCACACATCCCCCCTCCTTGCGTCTGTAACATCAGCACACTTCATGGACACACACCACCACATAAACACAATGCCAGGGATGCGATAGGCAACACCGCAGATTCCAAATGTATCACAGCACTTGACACACAATTGCCTCAATTAATGATAAGATGACAATGTATGCAAGGTAAACAATGTTTAATGTTCACACAATGTCATTGATTAGACTGATACAGATTCAAATCGTAAGCCACGAGGGATAATTGAGAAAAAAACTTTGAATATTAATCTATTCAATAACATGACAAACTCTAATTTGCAGCTCGGATCCATCTGGAATTTCATCATCTCCAATCTCAACATTAAGGGCTTGGGATACACACTGATCCGATGAATATACCGGTAGGCATTGCCTTTTAAATGAAAGATAAGACTGATGTGTCTGAATCCTATCAAAAAAATTCTTATCCATTGGAATCTAATCATGTTCCTCACTTAATTTAATCCTTTTGCTTTTGACACCACAGGTATGATTTTAAAGAAAGCATGCATTTTGAGACTGCAGGGTTTATCTTGGGTCAAAAATGGTGTTCAGTAGTGGCGGACAAACACGGCCATCCGGTACAAAAAACCCAACACATCAACTGCGAACCCAGTACTGACAATAAATCCTAAATAAATGCAAAGAAACAATTTGTAATATTAACTTAAAAAATAATAACTGTCAGGACAGATCCTAAACCAAAGTGCTTATAACTATTTTAAATTTCAAAATCTGTAAATGTATAGTGTCACGGAGGTCAGCTAGTAGTTGCTTTGCAAGTAAACCTCACTCCTCTGATCTCAATAGGTGCTCTAGCGACAGACGGAGACCCGGGTTCGAGGCCCGCTTGGAGCGAGTCGAGTAGAACCCGGGTGGAGAGGTTACATTGGTGCCGTGACCCGGATTAGAGTGAGGTTTAGGGGGGTGAGTGTAACGGAGTCCAGCTACTAGTTGCTGTGCAAGTAAACCTCACTCCTCTGATCTCAATAGGTGCTCTAGCGACAGACGGAGACCCGGGTTTGAGGCCCACTTGGAGCGGGTCGCGTAGAACCCAGGTGGAGAGGTTACATTGGTACCATGATCTCAATAGGTGCTCTAGCGACAGACGGAGACCTGGGTTCGAGGCCCGCTTGGAGTGAGTCGAGTAGAACCCGGGTGGAGAGGTTACATTGGTGCCGTGACCCGGATTAGAGTGAGGTTTAGGGGGGTGAGTGTAACGGAGTCCTTCTAGTAGTTGCTGTGCAAGTAAACCTCACTCCTCTGATCTCAATAGGTGCTCTAGTGACAGACGGAGACCTGGGTTCGAGGCCCACTTGGAGCGGGTCGCGTAGAACCCAGGTGGAGAGGTTACATTAGTGCCGTGACCCGGATTACAGTGAGGTTTAGGGGGGTGAGTGTAACGGAGTCCAGCTACTAGTTGCTGTGCAAGTAAACCTCACTCCTCTGATCTCAATAGGTGCTCTAGCGACAGACGGAGACCCGGGTTTGAGGCCCGCTTGGAGCGAGTCGAGTAGAACCCGGGTGGAGAGGTTACATTAGTGCCGTGACCCGGATTACAGTGAGGTTTAGGGGGGTGAGTGTAACGGAGTCCTGCTAGTAGTATCTGTGCAAGTAAACCTCACTCCTCTGATCTCAATAGGTGCTCTAGCGACAGACGGAGACCCGGGTTCGAGGCCCGCTTGGAGCGAGTCGAGTAGAACCCGGGTGGAGAGGTTACATTAGTGCCGTGACCCGGATTACAGTGAGGTTTAGGGGGCTGAGTGTAACGGAGTCCTGCTAGTAGTTGCTGTGCAAGTAAACCTCACTCCTCTGATCTCAATAGGTGCTCTAGTGACAGACGGAGACCTGGGTTCGAGGCCCGCTTGGAGCGAGTCGAGTAGAACCCGGGTGGAGAGGTTACATTGGTGCCGTGACCCGGATTAGAGTGAGGTTTAGGGGGGTGAGTGTAACGGAGTCCTGCTAGTAGTTGCTGTGCAAGTAAACCTCACTCCTCTGATCTCAATAGGTGCTCTAGCGACAGACGGAGACCCGGGTTCGAGGCCCACTTGGAGCGGGTCGCGTAGAACCCGGGTGGAGAGGTTACATTGGTGCCGTGACCCGGATTACAGTAAGGTTTAGGGGGCTGAGTGTAACAGAGTAGCTAGTAGTTGCTGTGCAAGGTAACCTCACTCCTCTGATCTCATTCTCAACAGGTGCTCCAGCGACAGACGGAGACCCGGGTTCGAGGTCCGCTTGGAGCAGGTCGAGTAGGACCCGGGTTGGAGAGGTTACATATGTAAAAAGTGAAAGTCACTAAGTGCCTGATTTGAAAATGTATTAATAAAATGAACAACAAATTAACATTACAATTACAATACAGAAAAAAAGTGCCTAGTCTGTTATTTTACATTTACACTCCAAGACTTAAAGCATGCACAGATCATTTGACAGACATTAGCATGAGATTGTTTTGTTTCCTACCATTGTTTCAATTGGTTTCAATCGCGCATTCAAATATGTAATTGTCAATCCAGAACTTTGCCATGAAAAATATATAGTATAAACAATACGCGACTAAAGATCACTGCCATTAAAATCATTTAAAATCGTTCAAGTACGTCACACATCTTTTACCAGCACTTCAAAACTCAAATATTATTATATATAAATGTTATTTTTAACGTGATGACCAAAACATTACTTTTTCCATCATCTAAAGATTACCCACATTTATAAAACTAAGTTTCAAGATGTAGGACAACTCGCACTTATTTAAAATAATAATAATAATAATAATAAATACATTTAAAATTTTTATAATTTTAAGATCTGGCATTTCTTTCTTTTTGCTGTATTTAAAACGTACCGAACCGTGACACCACTGTGTCGTATCGAACCAGACCATGAATTTTGTGAACCGTTACACCCCTCATAATCAATGAATGAAGTGGTCTATGCAATGAATCTTTCATTGACAATGTGTTACAAGCTACTTTTTTGATTATAATGAGTAAAGATTGAAACCTATGCTAGACAAAGTCTGCTCTTTTGAGAGTTGTTGAGCGGATTCGGACTAACTTAAACACATTTGATTGTGTTTACATGTTCAACAGATATGTCTGTGATTGGCTTCTCAAAGCTCAATGCAGCAAAAACACATTGTAAATTGAAACCTTTGACGCTCTTCACCTTTCACACAAACACACGAGGGAGCATTTTAAAGCAGCCGGCTATCAGCAGGTACTGGTACAGCAGAACCGCAGGTTCAAATAAATCAAATAAACCTGGTGGGACAAAGATTTATTTTGTCAGCAGTAAAAATATTTTCAGTGGAGAAAAAAAAACCCTGTAGTGGCTTTATGTTGTTGAAGATGGTCATCTCTACTTACTTTAAAGGGGAAGTGGTAATTAAAGTAGTATTTCATCACTATGTTCAAGAACAGCTTCCTGTCTTTCGCATATGCAGAAGTGGTACAATTGCATGCTGCTAAAAGTTATAAAGATGCCATGATGGTTCTAGTGTGAAATTTCTTGAAACATTATCCACCCTCTTAAAACCCACATATATGGTCAATATTTTAGATGGTTTGCATGGCCCAAATCTTGTCTAGAATAAACAGGCAGAATGCCTTTTGCGATCAGAGCAGGTGTTCAAAAAAAAATCTGACTCAATAGGCTATTTTAAGCAAACCCATGCCAAACAAACACACAACTAAGAAAGAATGCACCCAAGTAAACTTTTCCTGCTTTTAAATTACAGAACGTCACAAAATGAGATCTTATGAGTAAGAGATGTCTTCTGAAAAGGGAGTAGCTCATGAATCTCAACAAAACCTCAAGCATTTTAAAGTGATTCATGCACAAAAACATGCTCTCAGGAGCCTTTTACCATAAATTAAACTCAACCATTCTATACCTCAGTTGCTTATTATGGATCGCAAAAACATCCATATCCATCCAATGTATGACTCTCAAAGCTGGCATAGACTTTAAACTGTTGTATACTCTCAATGAATCATCAGTGGAATCAGAAGCCAGACCAGCTGGCTGAACAAAACTGCATCCCACACTGCAGACTGTTGCTCTGCCTCTCAGATTTCATATGCACTGAAAATATGCAACATATTAATGAACTATGATGTCCCAATGTAAAGCAATGCATGCATGTACAAATGCAAAACACCATTGCAACCAGATTAAAACAAAACAAGATTAACTGGCACAATGCTCCAATATAAAGAGATGCAAAGTACTAAAGTAAAAAGATGCATTAATGGCAATGCAATAATATGCAAATGCCCTTAAAGTACCAAAGACAAAATGTACGCAATATGTACAACGTAAACAGATGCAATGTGCTAATGCAAAGCGCTACAATACATTGATGCAAACTCAAAGAAACACAGTAAACACATGAAATGGACCAATTCAAAATAGAAAAAGTTATTAAATGCAATGAACATGTAAACAAATGCAAATAAAGACAGATCCGATTTAGTAATGCACCAAACACGCAGCTGACAAATGCAAGATGCAATGAACAGATGTAAAAGACAAATGTAAACAGTAGTGCACTAATAATAACTAATTGTATGTACTTATGCACTCCGAGCAAAAAAAAATTTATTAACGCAATGTATTAGGCTAGTAAATAAATGCAAAGCACAAACAGATGCACACACAAACTACTGCGATGTATTTATAAACGTAAAGAGGTCCTAATATAAACAGACACTGTACCAGTGTAAACAAATGCAATCCACTAAGCACGAGAAAAGCAGTTTCGTACCTCCTCCAACACGCCGACTGTATTCCTGCAGCTCTGCAAGCGGGTGGTGAAGCTGGATGTAGTGGGAGAGTTGTAATCCTCTGTTGTTTCCGACAGAAACTCCGACACTGATATTTGATCTGGCATCCTAGAGCGTGGGTTTGTCCAGAGAATAGATAGAAATGAGTGTTCAGACCACCGAAAGCATTAAAAGGAGAAAAACAAACGAACTTCCGAGGCCGTAGAGATGTTGAGCTAACGGTGCGCGAGAGATGTCTAACTGCAGCAGCACGCACGCACAGAACAAACTAACGTTACTAGCACGCGCTATGCGATTCTCTCTCCGAAAAACACAACGACCTGTATATATTTGGGTTCAGTCGCTCCCCCAGGGACTGGGATAGCACGCTGTCTCACCCCTTACCCCTCGAACATGAAGCTCGGAGTTGATCGGAGTTGTTTAGTTGCGATTCCAACAGCACGCGCCGTGAAATGATGCCCACATAACGTTCCCCCGCGTGATGTTTACGACAAACACTGCTGTTTTAAACAAGCGTCGGATTATGTTGCAGTGCATAGGTGTCAGTGAATGCATTCATACTCCGCGGTTGCCTGATCGCTCTCTGCACTCAGACCGTGTGAAATGCGCAACGCGGAGTGTGTGTGTGACATCCGCGCGCACACACACACTCACACTCGCGCGCTCTGCTCTACATTCGCCCACCCACCCCTCTGCGCATGCTTCGACTCTCGCTACCCACACAGCCAGGCTCCGTGGGCAGGAGTCCAGTGGTTGGCATCATGTAGGTTATAAACGTTATAAATGTGCACATAGCTAGACTTTTGTGGGGAAAACTCTTGATCAAATGTCACTAGAAGTTAAACGGATGCTTCACCCAAACAATGAAAAAAAAAAAAAAAAACCTGTATTCTTTCTTCTGCTGAACAGAAGAATGTTGGTACGCTGTAAAAAACATATTTTCATGATTTGTAATCACAACATTTTTTTTCTTTTGTCAAATCAACTTAGATCATTGATTTAGTTCAGATAACATAATATTTTGAGTTTCTGATGATTAAATTTATCTCCTTCATTGTATTAACTCAATTTTTCCATTCCAATGAACTTAAAATTTTAAGGCAACCAGGTTACTTTTTTTTTTAAGTTAAACCAACAATATTTTTTAGGGTGCCCAAACAGTTGACGGTAGCAATTTACTTTCTAGCAGGAAAAAAAAAAAACTATGGAAGTCAATTGTAAACTGCTTGGTTTCCAACATTCTTCAAAGTATCTTATTTTGTGTTCAGCAGAAGAAAGACATTTATGCAGGTTTGGGACAACTTAAGGGTGAATAAAAGATGACAGAATATTTATATTGGGGTCAACTATCCCTTTTTAGACATTTTTATGCCGCATTTTGTATTGTCAAAGTAACATTCTTAAAAAGAATCTAAATAGCATTTGCTTCTAAAGTGGCAAGTTGGTTTTCTAGAGTCAAGTCTATAGAAATTGGTTTTAATTAGATATAAATACACTAAAAAAGTGAATGGAATCCTGGTTCAGATATTTACTCTAAAAGGTAGCTAATTTTAGTCATAGTCATTCAAGAGTCAGGCATAGCTCATTTTCTGCATATTAAATACAACCTGTAACACTATTACAGAAATTAGAATAAATTAAGTTTTCCAGTTTTATTTTTCAAAATTTCCTCCATTTATAACAGAAAATGACTTTGATTTAGGCCTACAGTATCTTACCGTACGATATGACTGAAACATTACTGTAGAATCTTTGTGGAAATGGAATAAATGTGTTTATAGTATTAGTTTTGTTATAAATCATTAATTTGAGCTTTATTTTTTGTATGATTACATATGTATTGTGAATGTGAATGAAGTGTGACTTCTGCAGGTCAAATGGTGAAATGCATGTAAAGTTAACTATCCCTTTTTTAGACATTTTTATACCGCATTTTATATTTTATATCGTCAAAAGTAACATTCTTAAAAAGAATCTAAATAGCTAAAACATTTGCTTCGAAACTGGCAAATTGGTTTTCTAGAGTCAAGTCTGTAGAAATTGGTTTTAATTAGATGTAAATACACTAAAAAAAAAGAATGGAATCCTTTAGATATCCACACTAAAAGTTAGCCTATAAACACTGTGACACTATTACAGAAACTAGAATAAATTAAGTTTTCCAGTTTTATTTTTCAAATTTTCACCCATTTACTTTGTTTTATGACAGAAAATGACTTTGATTTAGGCCTACAGTATCTTACCGTACGATATGATTGTAACATTACTGTAGAATCTTTTGGAAATGGAATAAATGTGTAAGTAGTATTAGTTTTGTTATAAATCATTAATTTGAGCTTTAGTTTATGTATGTTTACATATTTATCCAGTATTGTGAATGTAACAAGTGTGACTTCTACAGGTCAAATGGTGAAATGCATGTAAAGTTTACTTGATGAATTGTAATTTTGACACATTACTGTAAAAAAACGGAAAGTTATCACACATTTTATCAATATATTTAGTGTTAAGTCATTTGACCACTAATATATCTAAAAGCAGAACTCCTTACCGGTTCCATATTGGTTCCTTCGAGGAAAAACTGAGACGAGAGGATGATGATCTCATGACTTCAGCTTGTAGCTTTAATGGGGGAAAAACACAGATCATAATGGATGAGCTCTTTCTTTACAGACCTATCTTTACTTACATTCCTAACCTTATAGGCCTAAAACAAATAAATCCAACTTGACTCACAAGAAAGTTATATTTTTCATAATTTGCTCTGCTCTAGATTTTTGAACTTAAACTTAATTTATGAAAACCTTTCATTCAAGAGATTTGCATGTAAAGTAGCCTACATGTAAAGTACAATAATACATGTAACCTTAACAGAAATATGCTACTCACCAAGATTAATCCCTGAGTTCTGCTGCCATGCTCTCTTCAGTGAGTTTAGTGGGTGTTGGGATATTATCCTCGGAGAGGAAGGGAGAAGCGACCATGTGTGCTGAAAAATAGCATGTTACAATGGCTACAGGATCCAGAACCTAATGACTCAGGAACTACGGAAATCCAGGAGACCTGGGACAGGATATGTGAGATCTGTGTAAACATGTGCCTTCTCAAGTGAAGTACCCTCACGCTCACGCAGAGTGATATACCACACATGTGTTGGATGGGGCACAGGGTCATGCTTGACTCTTTGTAGAATAACAATATTAGATTCAGTATTTGTTCAGCATTTCTGTTCAGATTGTGCACTTAAAACTGAACTGACACATTTCTACCATAGAGTTTTTTTTTAAATACTTTACTTATGCGCAGTTGGCCTTCATGAAGATCATGAAGATAAATCCCATTGTGATTCAATACACATCACATACCTATTATATTATTTTCTCCAATGAAGTCACACTACACTGGTATTTTTCCATTCTGTATCATGTGTCATTTTCCTGTTTTTTTTTTTTTTTTTTTTTTTTTAGAGGGTTACAAATTTGTGACCAGTCAGAAAGAATTATTTATAAAGCCAAGATGATAACACATCTAAAGAGGAACTGCTGAGGCTGAGGGGTTCCTGGAACCTGTAATTTTCCGACAGTTTTATTGGGAAGGACCATAGTTAAAAGTAAATGTTTTGTCTGTGCTGACTCAGACGGGATAGGGGACGGGGTGGGGAACTGGGGGTCAGAGGAGGTTGTCTCTGGGTATTTTCTCTGAGCTTGGCAGTTATGTAGGCTAACTATTCATCAAATAAGTAAATATTTGGTCATTAAAATATTGATTTGAGTCTAAATTATTAGATTTTTTTTTTCATTTTACCTCTCTATAGCAGTTGGCAGTTTAAAAAAAATGTAAGATTAAAATTTTCTTTGTTTTTAAATGTCTCGAGTGAACACAATTGGGAGAGAGAGAGAGAGAGAGAGAGAGAGAGAACACAAAGGTTTTGCAAGCGAAATCAATTTCTCTGTGATACGCAAACGTTTTGCAAGCTAAGTCAAAAGCACCAAAATATAATTTTTCCATCCATCTTATAATTTTCCATGACCAGGCCCCATTTGCCAATTGAGAGATTTGTGTTGATATCTAGATATCAAAATATTCTTCCCAGCAAACACAGAACGTTCCCGAATGGTTCCCGAGCCAAACAAGAACGTTATAGGAACGTTCCATGTAGGTTAGGCTATTTCAGCCCGATCTCATGAAAGCTCGTATCTATAGCACGAATGTCATTTCTCGTGGCATTTATAAGCCAAAAACAGTTTTTTGCTTGTATAAGACCATGTACGCGTTTGACCAGCAGGCCTACGCGTTTTTCGCGTGCATATGATACGCAGTTTTTGGCGTAGGCTACTATAGCCTACGCACGAACTCCCCACCCCTCCCCCCTAAACCTACACCAGGGTTTTTTAGTGCGTAGCATAAGCACGCGAAAACCATTTTTTGGCGTATAAATGCCACGAGAAATGACATTCGTGGTATAGATACGCATCTTCATGCGACTGTGTTGGTTTTTTTAGGTTCCATTTTTATAACGTAAGGAGAATGTTCCGGGAACGTTCCCTTAACCACAAGGGAAAGTTCTAGAAACGTTCTGGGAACCAAAAACCAACGTCCCCAAAACCTAAATTTGTTTGCTGCATGGGTTGGCCCTTCCTATAATCCCAGTCTCATAGAAATATTTGAATTCCTCTTGCCAATTACTAAACGGCTTCCCTCGTCTCCGGGCTAAAAAAAAAAAAAAAAAAAAAAAAAGCTGGAATGTTGATGGTATCGTGGAATCCTTCGGCTAGAGAAGCATTCGATATAAGACAACAGAGTGCTATTGACATTTAACATGCAACAGGGCATTCATTTTAAAAATAAGGATTTTAGCTACACAAATATAACATGTAGGCTAATACACATGGTAAACAGGGTACAGTTCTGTTTGCATTGGTTTTAACTTATTTTTAACTTTAAGGTAGCCCATCGATAGGCCTACCGTGTGTGCTTACTAAGCACTGCTTAGCCAAATAACCCCCGTTGTTTTCATCTTTCTATCCACTTATTTATGATATCCACAATAATTACAATACACTGCTATTCCATCAAACACTGCTGAGATTAATCAATACACTGCAGAGAGAGACAGTTATGTGTAGAGTGCCTATGCATTGATTTCAATACAGTGGAGTGGAAAATGTTTCTGTAATTTTAGAGGTCCTAATCCTAATGGACTATAGATTTGTCTTGCTGTTCTAAAGGGGTCTAGTTTACAAATGATCTTTGTTTACAGCATATGGCATACGGTCACAATACACACAAAGTCTGAAGTGAAGTCGCAGACTTCAGTAGTTTGTCCTCTTCGTTTTTACGGACATATTATTTCACGTTTTGTATTTATTTTAACATTTTGATAATTAATATCGCCACCTTGTGGTTGTAAGTGGTATAGATAAAAAAACATTTCAATTTCTGTGATGCAAGATGATGGAAATAGGTCCTTTTGAAAATAATAAAAGAAAATTCAACCTGTAAAACAGTTTAAAAGCTGTTTAAACAATCATAACATTTTTTTTTATTTAATTCCATATTGTATTCCATATTGACTTCTCATTCATGAATGCACAAAAGTTTTAACGGTTTGAATGTTACCATGTCTTATCTGCTAATTACTTAATTTACCACATTTTTATTAATTACATTTTTTTTATTCTTCGAAATGTAACATTTTTCAAGAAATGTAGCAAAAACAGTCTGTTGCAAGAAAAGATATATTATCAATATTTATGAGACATTTTGTTTACACTTTACAATAAGGTTCATTAGTTAACATTAATTAATGTACATAACTAACCATGAGCAACCCATTGAAACAGTATTTTTAATCTTTGTTAAGGCTAGTTAATAAAATATTCAGCTGTTCATTGTTTGTTCATGTTAGCACAGTGCATTAAATGTTAACAAATACAACTTTTGATTTTCATGTTTTGTTTATGAAATTATGAGTTATATGTATTATGAAATTAACATTAACAAAGATTAACAAAAAAATGCTGTAGAAGTACAGTTCATTATTAGCTAAAGTTAACTAAAGTGTTAGGCTATGAAGAAATTGTATATGAATATATCATTAGATGAAATTTATAAAAAAATATAAAATGAGAATTACCATAATGAAAGTAATAAAATTATTTTAGAACTTACAACTCATGAATGCTCAAAACAGACAAATTTATTGAAACCTACATATTATTTTCTAAAAAAAAAATATATTATTTTTACTTAAAAAAAGAAAAATGGTTAAACCATTTTGAATCTCCTTTTTACACTGCAATGGATTATTAATAGGTGGCAGCAAAGTGAAATGTGGACTTTTGTTCTACAATCACATTAAGACATTAATTTTGTTTTTTTTTAAACAAAAAAAAATAAATGTGTGTATTTTTTTTAAAAAAAATGTATAAATGTGTGTATTTTTTTTAAAAAAAATTCAGAATTACAGTGCGTGTATGCATGATTATAAACAAAATGCAGCCAAAATGAGAGTGAAAGTGTATGAAAGAGGGTCAATGTACATAAGTAATCTATAATCTAACTAATATAAAATCTAAGTAATCAAATCTAACTAATATACAAAAAAAAAAAAGCAGCAGTAAACTTCCATGTGTAAAGTCCAAGTTTAATTTCGGGTCAAAATTGACACGAACGCAAAAGGTGTAACAATTTAAATTGTTTATTTAACAGTTTAAATTGTTAAATCTGAAAAAATCAAATAAAAATCAGAAAAAATAAATGTGTATTTTGACAATGCTAAATTCAAAGGAATAATTTAGTTAAATCTGTTGAGGTCAAAAGTGAACCATGAAGTATTTGATGGCATGTTAGCATTATATCCTCATTAATGATAAGAAAATGTCACATAAACATCTGGGAAGGATTTTTTTTTTTTTTTATGGCTGTCAGAAAGGTCAACATATCTAAAAAAAGGAATGCATTCATAAAAAGCAATAAATCATTAAGTCAATCAAGTTCCATAAGAATTCATAAATTCCAAAATAAACACAGTGATGAAATTCATTCAAAGTGCTTATAACAAAACAGTTAAGCAGCAACAGTTTCAGGAGGAAACCATTTGTAAAAGACATTTAATCGACAGAATGTAATAGAAAAAAAAGAACTTAGAAAGATTTTTTTAAGAAAGCATCATAGCAATCCTAAAACATCACAGCAATCCTAAATCAATCAGTAACTTCAGCGTGATGAAAATATTTCACAAATAATAAAAACAGCAATAATGATATTATTAGAAAATTATATCATTATAAAACATCCATAAATATACATTGGATAAGGATTGGGGACGTACTATATCTAAAACACCTAAACAGCTATGATGTGAAATAAAATAAAAACCGTGATTGGTTTTTGACCATTAAGAAATCAATAACTGTCACCAACGTAACTAACCCATGCTATAATGACTAGACTCCAATCTCTGATATTAGTGCATTCATTGAGGCACTTTACAAGCAATTAAGTGCAAATAATTTATGAGTGTGGAGTGTTTCTGATCTACTAGACATCATTACTGTACCTCAATTTTCTCTGCGTCACATATAATAATTTATAAGGACATGGTCACCCATAAGTCAGTGTGTAACTATAGTAGTGATATAATTTTAATCAGTATTGTACTACTGGTTTACTCACACAAATTTGTCTTTTGATGATAGTATTTTGTGCTGCGTCTTATCCGTTATATATTCAGGTTGAGAAGAATAAGCTAAAGAGGGACAATTGCTTACTATAAACCCTACAACCTGAAGCTGCTTGGACTGTTGGACTGATATGTGGGTATTTGACTAATAATTTAGACACTATTAAGTGCAGTGGAACTGAGGTAATGAATTCAGCAGTACTGGAACTGTTCACACAGCATTAGTCACTAAATCCTTCAACCAAACCTGCAGAGATAGAAAAAGAAAGACATTACATCATTCAAATGCTATACTGTATCATGCAAAAAAAAAAAAAGTTTTGATAATGACACTAACAGTTTTCGAGATTGTAACAAACAACAGCATGACTTTGTCTATGACATGATGTAAGAGGAAATTAATTCAAGCTTTAAAGCAACACCAAGTGACTTTTCCTCTGCGGTCGCCCTACAGGTTGGAAACGAAATTGTCCATTACCGCTGTCGTAATAAATAATTTAGCCTACCGCATCCTACTGTTGCACACACGCACATGCTCTCTGTTTATCCAGCACCGGCTTTGGAATCATGATGACAATTCAAAAGCTACCCCGGCTGCTAAGTATCTTACATGTAGTTGTAGCATGGGAAGGAAATGAACTTTTTTGCGGCTGGTGGATCTACCAGCCACTCAATGTTTTTACCAGCCACTTTCTTGTTTTTAACCTACAATGTGTAACTGCATGTGAAAAATATTACTACAAGATCTACAATACTTAACCAGTTTATTTAATCTCAAGTCTCAATGAAATACTAACATTTTCTCTTTCTCTCTTATACACACACAAACCATGAACTGATATACATTTCGTTAAATTAGTAGGGCAGATTAAAAACAAAAAACTGAACCGATGCTAAACCGCACTCTATGCAGTCCCTCCAGGATTTCACGATCTTTTTTTGTGATTTTTGCGATCAAAATGACTGATTTTGTGGTGGAAATTTCCAAAAATTTGTGAAAAAATTTGCGATTTATATATAACATTTACCATAACAGTATTCAGTCCTTCTAGAAAAACGCAGTTTTTTTTGTGATTGTTGCGGGCAAAAATTTATTGATTACGCGGCCCGTTTTCTTTAAAAATGCGATGGGATATGCAGGATATTTATGCAATTTTATGCAATGAAATTGCAGGAATTTGCAAAAATTGCGGTTTGATGAAAAAGAGAAAAAAAAGTGATTCCCCCAACATCCTGTTCTCACTAGGCTAATGTAAGAGTCATTTCTTATTACTTCCTTTGATAAGCAAGCGTACTACATCATAGAAAGTGCTGGGAATATTTAATTTCTCATCTTGTTTTATTTCAGACTGTAACGAGTGTAAATAAGGTGTGGCCCCTTTAAGAGATGCGCGCTCCCTGTTGAACTCTCTGCAGTGTTATATATGCGCCTCGAACACCCCATGTGTGCGGGTAATTTCTGTTTGATGCTACTTCTTTTATCTTATGTTGTTTATTAAGCAACGATGTGACGGTAGAACGTGTGACAGACAGTTATACGAGTTCGATTTGTCTGTCTGGCGTCGCGTAATTGCGTCACTTCATAACGTTCCCATGGAAACAGAGGGAAATGGCTGCTCTTGTGTGAAGCAAACGCAACATTTTTCAACTTTCTGCTAATATACATGTGACTTTTTTTGCAATGAAAATGCGAGGATTATGAAATTATGCAAACCCCGCATATTTTGCACGGAAATTGGCAATTTATGCGGCGAAAGTGCGCACGTATTTGAAAAAATGCGGCCCCCGCATAAATATGCGGACTTTGACTGATTTTGCATTGAATTCAACGATCGCATAATCGCGTTTTTCTGGAGGGACTGTCTATGCTGGAGGTTGCTCTCTCTGCGAGAGAACCGTAAAACGTCAAATAATAGCCAAGTCCCAAATAGTCGCCTGTCTCTTTTACACGCCTGGTGTGGCGACAGGTTTGGGTAAATAATGGCCTGTCTCAAATACAAGGCGGTGCAGTTCGACGATTTGGGAAAATAAAAGCCCAGGCTATTATTTGAAGTTTTACGATATGCCTGTTCTGTCTTATTTACATCAAGCGCTCGCGGCTAGCTCCCACCTCTCGCGCTCAAGCCTCGACGGAAGAAGCGCACGAGTAGATGTTCGCGCAGCTAGCTCTTTATGACACAAGAGAGCTACCCGCCCTAAAAATACACCATGCGCTTGCGGCTAGCTCTCCCTTTGGATGGCAAACCGCCTCATCGAGCCTCGACGGAAGAAGCGCACTGGTGTTGAAGGTATGCCTCCTCTAAAAGTGTCTGCCGTCCGGGTGAAACAGTTTGTTATTTTTATTTACCCACCACGACCACGGTGGCCGGTAGGTGAAGTGAGTTTACTCGCCACACCGAAAAATCACCGGTATTTGGCTGGTGGCGGGTGCTAATTTCCATCCCTGAGTTGTAGTCTACTGTCGAGTATGCGCCACCTATCAGCAATTGTAATGCTTGCCGTAAAGCAAGTCAGATTTGTAGTTTTCTTAGGACTCATTTGGACTACAGAAACGCGACTTAATCTGGCAATCTTACATATCGTGGATATATCAGATACAGGACCACAAAGCGATGGCATAAGTATATTTCACCATGTCACGACTTGAAGAACTACTATTGCGCAAGTCTCTGAGTTTTTGCAGAACTATGCCCCCTCTGGCGACAAGTGAAACTGCAACCAGAGGTATACAAGCTTGCACAAGCTGTTCATAACCAAAGGAGCATCAGCCGCACACATCTTTTGATACAGTCATAATGTCTTCAGAGGTCATAAAGTTATACATCTGCAAATCATTTTAAAAATATGAAAGGAAAGGCATTTGAGTAAATTACACACTTATGTGTGTGTGAGGGGAAAACGGGGGTAGTAGAAAAATTCAGTTTGTTTCTATTTATCTCCATGTTGAACTGTTTTACTTGCTTACTGTATCCACTTATGATTGTATTATTATGGAAACATGTTAATGAACAATATAAGTTATTACTTTGTGTAGGATCCCGTTTGAGCCCTAGAGCAGACCGGAGATCTCTCCATTTGTTGAAAGCTTCCCGATGTTGATTCGTCTTATTCCGACGCCTGGCACAAGACAGAAGTTTTATTTTCTTTGTCTTACGTGGAGTTTGCGTTGGGGTTTGGAACAAACTACAAGCCGGTCTCTTTGAATCCATCTTCTACTTTTGTCGAAAGTTGACTAAAGTTTTGTCGCTCGAGTTGTCTTCGCTGATACGGAGAATGGCGGCGAATAAACAAACCTGCCAGATATAGCCAGGTGAGCGCGAACGCGCATGACGTCACGCCCAGTCTCAAATTCCGTCCCGAATCCCTCTTATTTATTTTACTGTACAGGATTATAGAGGCGATCGCAGTGATCAGCGAAGGGGTAATTCAGCCCATCCGGCAATTGTTTAAAGTCCCCGTGAAATCAAAATTGAACCTATTTACTTTGTTAGCGCATATTACTAGTCTTGTGGTGAACAATTAATCCGTGCAAGTGAATATATATTAAAAAAAAATGTTTTACCTTAGTAATCTTTAATCAAAATCTGAAAAGTTACTTCCGGTCTGGAACGGTTTCTTTTTCTGATGACGTAGGTTTCACAGCTTGGGTGGGGAAACGCTTAACCACTCCCCTCAAACCGTTAGTTTGCTATGAGCGAGAGATGGAGAGGAGGAGCGCTAGAGTAAAACCCTGCCCTCTGTTCAATATTCCGTTTCACTTGGAAATACGTCACAGCACTGGAGAAAAATCGTTTGCAACTTCCGGTTCACGGGGACTTAAGCATGTATCGGTTAGAAAAATTGGTATTTTTAACATGAAATGTTGCGCAATGCACCTTCAAGGTAAAAAATCTCACTTAATGTTGCTTTAATTAGAACAAAGGTTCAGGAGACGTAAATAATGTATGCAATAAGAAGAAAAAAACCCTTCAATGCTATTTTGTATTTTATATTCTCTGACAGACATGCACTCACTCTGATCCACGTCCATGGCCCGCAGCGAGTTGCAGGAGCCGTTCTGTTTGGGTCTAGCGCCAAGCTCCCTGTTCTCTTTCACCGAATTGGTGTTCAGACTCGGAGTTTGACTTTGTGTTTTAGTTTCATCTGCCTTCATGATGAAGTAACCACCTTCTTCAGCTACAATCTTCTCAACCTTCTCCATCAGCTGAGGCAGCTGCGGGTGCTCGCCAAAAATATAGTTATTGATGACGTGGTACCTCTTCTTGCACTTGTCCACCACCCACTGAAGGTCACGACCTTCCCTTCGTATATGCCTTTCTATGGACTTGTCCTTCAAAATCTCTGCCCAGGTGAACACCACCAAGGTTTGCTTCCACACGTCTTCTCCGAACAGCGCCAAATTCTCCTCTATACGAGCCCGGTCCGTTTCGGTGAACATGCCCACCGGTATGACCAGCAGGAATGCGTGGGGTCCAGGTGCGCACATACTTACACTTCGGACCATCTCCTGCTGATAGTCTGCCGGTGTGGTCTGGGCTGAAAACCAGCCGGGAGTGTCTATTATTGTTACTTTGCGCCGATCCACCTCGGTTTCGCGTTTCACTGAGAATTCGGCAGCACGCTCCAGACGAAACTCTTCACGCCCCAGGATGGTGTTGCCGGTGAGGCTTTTCCCCGGCCACCTCCAGCCCAGCAGGATCAGACGGAGCTCGGGCAGACGGTTAGCCTCACGGGCGGCTGCCGCCAACCGCTTCTCTTCCTCAGGGTCGAGTTGGTTATCTGCTGTTAGGGAACCAATACATTATTATTAAGAGGGTCAAAAATGGCACCCTGGAAAATTAGAGGTTGGTAATAAAAATGTTCAGCTTTTAAAAGTGTTTTAATGCATATTGATGCTTTTTTTCTTTGTTACAAATTTATTTCTTTTATATGGAAGCTTGTTTCTGCCATAGAATGAAAAAAAGGTAATTACGACTTTTTAATCTCATAATTCTGACTTTTTTTCTTTCTTGCATTTGTGAGTTTACATCTCAGTTATTCTCAGAATTGCGAGACATAAACTCCCAATTGCAAGTTATAGTCAGAATTATGAGATATAAACTAGAATTTCGGTCTTTATGACTCACAATTCTGAGAAAGTCATAATAGAGAGATGTAAACTCGCAAATGCATGAAAACAAGTCGTGAGATAAAGTTCCAATTATCTTTTAAAACGTTTTATTCTGTGGTGGAAACAAGCTTCCATGAATGGCTGCCAGTAAATTCTTCAGAATTTCAGAAAAAAAGTCATACAGGTTATCAAAGGCATGAAGATGAAACAAGAATTTTACCTTTATGAAGTTTTTTTTAAAAATTAGATGAACTATCAATTAAAAAAGTATTTACTAAAACTTTGATTGCAAGAAATGTCATAATTGGGAGATAAAGTCAAAATTACCTTTTAATTTTTTATTCATAATTTTATGAGATTGTGGTACTCATCAAGGCTACATTTACTTAAAAAATACAGTAAAGACAATTAGGCTATATTGTGAAATATTATTGCAATTTAAAATATCTGTTTTCACTTTTATATACAGTATATATATATACATTTATAATATATATTTACTCGTGTGATGACAAAGTCAGCAGCAATTACTCCAGTCTTCAGTGTGACATGATCCTTCAAAAATTATTCTAGTAGAATGATGATTTGGTGCTCAATAATCATTTATTTTCATTATAAAAGTTACTTTCAGGATTCTTTAATGAAATAATAATAAATAAAACACTTGTTTTTAACTTACTGACCCCAAACTTCTGAACAACAATGTAGGTTAATATTTTAATATCGCTTAATATTTTAATCATTATGTAGCCTATAATATATTGGAAGACTTTTGGATATAATATAATGTAAACTCACTGGGAAAACACAAAACATACGTCAAACAAGCATTGCCCATGGATTTTCCCAGTGATGTTTTTATCTGAAAAGTGATATCTTGTTTCTCCTTCAGACTTGAGCAAGGAGGAAATAGATGACCAAGACCAATATTAATCTAAACAGCCAAACAACATTCATATTAAAGCAAAACACTTAAGTTATTCCAATAAAATTCGCTATTTGGAGATTGCATTTAACTTTTATACAGTCTTACACCGAAAGAACTAAAAGGTGTGTCTAGTCTACATAAGTCACTGTAAATGACTCTTTAAAGCATATATTTCGTTGATAAAGAAACTCCTTTCACATGTAACTACTTTTCACGTGTTTTTCGCCATGTGAGAGGATCTGTTGTGACTTTAGTCCACCTGTGAACGTCATATACCTGTCTAAACGGGCAGCGGAAACAGTGAGACGTGTCACATTCACCCGAAACACACACCGGCCACAGTAGTGCGCACAAAGCCAAATTAAGTATGAATCTTGCGTTATAAGCATTGTTCAACAGTATATTTTAAAACAACTTACCAGTTGAATTTGGTCCATTTGAGCTCATGACGATGCCGGGTTTGTAAACTTTAGTCGTGTCAGTAATCCGGGAGAAAAGCGCGATTTCCTGCTTGCTTGCTTCTTGAAGGGCGCGGGAGGGAGATGTCTACATACATTCGTGAACAAGTCATTGATTCGGATCTTTTCAATGAATCGGTTGAACCATAGTTCACGGTTTTTGGTCAAGATGTTGCGAACAAAATATGTTAAATATGCTTATCGCTTGAATGTGTAACTGTTATCAACACACATATTTTCAACACCGAGGTGGACATGGCAGTATTTCTTTCAATTTGTTTAAAATAAATTATTTTAGTTTTTTTTTTTTAGCGTAATCATGGCCGAACTGAACTAGCACATGTGGAATTAATTTAAATATTACAGTAAATATTATTTACTGTAGCATTTAAGCGACCACGTAATCGCGTACTTAAAAGATTATTCAAAAGAACCGATTCAGAACAAGCCTGGCGCAAGGGTTCAGAACATAGAAATGTACCCGTAGTACACATATGACAGTACCAGACACGTCGGTGCGCCCGCCATCTTGGAACGGTCTACGTGTCCTCAATCACAAGAATCATGCCACATTACTCAGCTTCTGGCTGTAAACCGCCGATTATTAATTCCCAAAGCAATTGATTATCTTTCATAGGTGAGAAGGTGTTGGATTGTTTTTTATATGTATTGACTTGTAGGATTTTACAGCTTATGATTTTACGTTTACAGTAACTTTTAAAAGTCGTGTTAACTGACGACTCCATCTCATTGTATTGTGTCAGTTTTGTAAAACCATCGGCCTGAACTATCCATTAATCGGCTTTGACCGTTCCAATATGGCGGATGGCTTAGATATGCCTATATAAACAGCCGCTGAGGCATCTATAGTTTAACAAGCTCTGTTATTTTTCAAAACCAACATACTACTATGGTTAAAATAATTACTAGAAACACTTTCGTATTTTCCGCAAGATATTTTAATCAAAACCAAGACTTTATAATATTGAATAAAACATTATAAAATCACTCTTAATGTATTTGACATGCAATACATTTGATATTTGAAGTTTTTTTTTTTCATACAAACCCCAGTATTTAACATTTACATTTCAATATCATTTTAATCATTTAATCATTAATTGCTACTATTTACACCAAGTTGCCAGCAAAGTAATCCTTCATCTTAAAGATCAACACATAAAAAAACATTTTTTTTTTAATACAATATACAAATTTTAAGATTGATTTCTTTACTTTTTTTCTGTCTTTCAAAAAGCTCTTGCAATTCTTTGCAGGATGTAGATCTAAAAATGAAAGTGAATGTAAAGTAGAAAGGAGAATGAGCATTTGTGTGCACTGCTGCTTATGAAGCCCAGGCAGCCAACCTCTTCATATCATGATCATCCTCCGCTCTCTTCTTGGAGGCTGAAAGAATGAAATTATAGGCATTTCAATAAAACACAGACTGTAGGGCCTGACTGGTCTTTAGCCAAATTTTAAAGCATTTGTAAATGCTGAATGTGTTGGTGTCATTGCATACTTACTTGCATGGCGGCTTGGTCTTGTGCTAGGCAGTTTGGTGGTTGGTACACTTGGTAATCTGGCCATATTCTTCATACTTTCTTCAAGTTCTTCCTGTTCCAACTCTGCCAGCTCAGCCAACAATTCATCCTGTAAAAACATAACAATGAGTACAGAACGTCAATTGATTAAAACAAAGAATCACGTTCTGCGTTTTAACATAAATTATCTTGAAAATGCTGAAATATATACTGATCATATTTGAGTTTACTTTTTTTTTTTTAAATGAATTTCACTGATAAAAATGAATTGATTGAATGAATGAGGTGCCTTAAATAGATTTAACGATAAATATTTAATTCATCTAAAACATAAACACACACAGGGTAGAGTAGAATGACAGTCAACTACCTTGAATATTAATGAAGCATTTTGGGCATAAACATATAAATTAGAATAGTGATTCAAATATTTCATTCAAATAAATAAATGTCCGTACTGATCTTATTCATCGCGTATATTTAACAACTTCTACTTTGTAAGATGAGCTTGGGTTGGAATAAAACTTCAGGTTCCGTTGAGTTAGGAAAATCTTTACACAGTAATCATCAGATTATCTCTTCGCCTGTCTCTGAAAATGTCCAGATTTTTAAATCATCTTGAGGACACTCATTTTAAGTGGAGTTTAGTCAACTAGGTGACTACAGCACATTGAAAAAATACATAACGGGAAATAAATGAGTTGTACTATTTCAAAATGGAAGTCACAAAGCTCAGTACAAGTAGTCCATTAATTCCTCTTTTTTATTTGTAATTAGTAATGGGGAATTTCCAAAAGAGTCAATTCTCTCAAAGACTCCAAATAGCCCTACTGTCAAAGTCAGCTCATAGTTTCTCAATAGCAGAGATATATGAACTAAATTAATAAAATTAACAAAAATGGACTGTCACTTCACTTACTTAAAGGGATAGTTCATTTTGAAATTAATTTTTGATATGTTTTAGCTTACCTCAAGGGCATCCAAGATGTAGGTGTCTTTGTTTACACAGTATTTTCATTTTTTGATATTTTTAGGTCAAACCGTTATTGTCGATCTTGATCTGAGGGTGTGGGCGCTTTCTGGCCGTGGTTACAAGAGGTAAAAACGATATAAATACTCACACAAAGTTCGTTTTCTCACACAAACCGCTCGTTTCGTGTCTTAGGCCATTACATTTACGAGTCATTAAATCATGTTTAATTTGGACTTCTCTGTGCATGCTCTTTGAGGTGGACCCCATATACCTCCATTGTCTGACAGACAAGAACGGTTTGACCTAAAAATATCAAAATTGAAAATACTGTGGAAACAAAGACACCTACATCTTGGATGCCCTCGAGGTAAGCTAAAACATATCAAAAATTAATTTCAAATTGAACTATCCCTTTAAGCTGAACTATGGCGCTATTTTCTTTTAGATCTGCTGTACAGTCAGAACAAACTTTGTTGCATTATTTCCCTGCTATCTCTGTAAAGCTGCTTTTAAATAATCTGTATTGTAAAAAGTGCAATATAAATGAAGGTGACTTGACATACTACATGTTATCCTACATGTAGCTTACTTTAGAAAAAAAACAGTCAGAGTACATTTAGATTGTAATTATACATATCTCTATGCCATCTTTGTAGTTTAATTAATGTTATATTAATGCAATAAATATTATTTTGGCTTTCCATGACTAATCTAATTTGTGTTCATATCATTTAACTAATCATAAATCATTAAAAACTCACTTCAAGAATAAACATCAATACATGTATATTATTGTATGCATTTCTGTATGTATTGTATTCATTTTTAGTATCTTGAACTCTCTTACTAGGGATTAATCGCATCCAAAATAAAAGTTTGTGTTTACATAATATGTGTGTGTAGTGTGTATAATTAATTTGTACATATAAATACACACACATGAATGTATACATTTAAGAAATATTTGCATTTACATCCTTTATATATATTTATACATAATAAATAAGAAATCTAAGAGCTGGATCACTCCTCCATACTAGTCCATAGGCTTCTTGAGGGATTGAAACTTAGTTGCCAGCCTCGAAAAGTTATTAAAGACATCGTTTTAAATAGTATTCTCGTCGCTTGATGAAGTTTGAGCCACTGTAGTCACTTGGACTATTTTAACAGTGTCTTTAATAACTTTTCGAGGCCGGCAAGTTTCAATCCCTCAAGAAGCCTATGGACTAGTATGCAGGAGCGATCTTAATATCTTAAATATCTTAATTTGTGTTCCGAACATGAACGAAGGTCTTACGGGGTTGGAACAACATGAGGGTGAGTAAATACTGACAGAATTTTCATTTTTGGGTGAACTATCCCTTTAAAGGGGTCATCGGAAGCAAAATTTACTTTTATATGGTGTTTGCATATAAATGCGTCTTTGCAGTGTGTGGACAACCACCATACAATGAAAAAAAAAATCCATTCACTTCATTTAATCCGCGACAAGTGTAAACGCTCAATAATCAGGTCGTTTGGATTTATGATGTCGTAATGCTCATGCTGCGCCCACGACCACTGACAGCCTGTCCCGTATTAGCATATTTCTGACACCGCCCATGGAAGACAGGATAAGATTAATGTCCTCTAAATCATCAAAAATATGATTTAGTGTGTAAAAAACGAATACAATCGTGTATTTCTGACCCTGTTTTGATGTGAAGTAAATTGATTCGAGGAGTCAATTCTGTCGACTTGTATGGTTAGAGTTGAGAGTTGGAGTTTAACATCCCTATTTGTAATACATACCTCATCAAACTGATCACCAAAAGGTTTTGAGATGGCATCACTGATCTCCTGAGCTACTTCCTGTTGTTCTGTAATGTCCTGCATGAGGGAGTCAATGTTATCCAGATCTCTGAAAGTGAGAGAAACAGAATGATTGGTTATTTGATGACATTTGCTAACAACTGTTCAATCCACTGGTCTCAATTATAGATGTATGCAACAGTCATTTATCGGCATTATACAAAATATTTTACTTCAGATATCTGTAGTTTTGTAGTATTGATCAATCAAAATCATGTATTCCTGAGAACCATGTAATAAGCAATGATATGTTTTTTTTTTTTTTTGTGAATAACTGAGTGTAAAATACAGCAATAGGCGCATTCAGGTTGTCGTAATTACCATAATTATGAAATTTCAGAGCTCATAATTACAAATTTTCAGATTACTCCTACTTGTACTATGTGATTGCTGCACCACTGCAGATTAATTTAGGCATTGACAGTGTTGCCATAGAAATGCATAATTCCCAGTCCGAGGAAATGGACAGCTCTGAATAGAACGTCACGTGTTGCCATCTCGATATTACGGTAATTACGACAAGGCGTGAATGCAGCACATGATGAAACGTACATGTTCTGGTGAACCCCTTTGATGGCTTTAGCTGCGTAACCCATGTTCTTCAGAACCTCTGTGTTTGTGGTGGCATTCTCAAGGGCCTCTCGCTGGAACTCAATAGTGGACAGGGTCCCGTCGATCTGAGTCAGCTGTTGCTCGAAACGTTTCTTCCTCTTCAGAGCCTGAAGTGCA